CTATAAGGTAGACACCCTTTTTTTGGTGTTTACTATCAGACAAATCTCAATTTTCTCATTGAGCATTTTTATTTAAGTTTTTAAATCTGACTTTTGCAGTTTTTAAGATTTCATATAAATTCTAAATATATGAGCACTTAGTGCGTAGATTCAAAATCAACTTGAATTCAAACCAGCTTATTTAATTTGTAATTCAATATTTGTTTTTATTTTGTTTCTTTTTTCAAAAATGTTTAATCTTCCCTCAACCAAAAAAATGTCTGGTATAGGGTTCTGATTAAGTTATGATCCACCAATTAACTGGATAGTGGCGCTTGGGTTCATGTGAGTTGGAAATCTATTGTTCAGCTGATAACAAATTCATTTGATTGCTATTTCATACCACATGCGTGTTTATTCTTATATTGATATTTTATTTCAAAAACAATATAAAGTTGTTTAGTTTGTTATTCAGGAAATATTTTTGAAAATAATATAAATTTTATCAATCACTGTTTTTGAAACAATGTAGCATTAATTTATTTAATAAGCAATATCTAGCAAAAACTTGCTCCATTAATAGTATCTTATCATAAAATTTTAGATACTAGTACATTGTTTTGCATGATTTCATAAAATGTTTTCCCACTGATTATGTATTTATGAATTCATTTTGGAATTGTTTATTTTATTTTCAGATTTCCATTTATATCAGTATTATTTAAAAATAGTCCCCACAGAAATAATTCATAATAATCAGAAGCAAAACACCTATCAATATTCTGTGACAGAACAAGTAAGTAAAATCACTCATATTTTGGTTATCTATGTCTTTATTAATAAAGGTGATAATCATTGTGACATAATTATAAATTATCCCTTCATATATATTGTTTTTTAAATTATGCTTTTAAATTATTTTAGGCTTAATTTGGAAGCTGTGTTTTGTTTGTGTTAATAGAACAAGCTTTGAGTGAATTTTCAGTTAATTAAGAATTATTTTTATAATTTAACATAGAATTTTTTTTATTATTTAATTTAGAATTATTTTTATCATTTATTATAGAATAATTTTTCCTATTTTATTTAGAATTATTTTATCATTTAAAATTTGAGCATAGATAGTTGGTACTCGTGTATTTAGTATCTATAATAAAAATTGATTGAAATTTTTATTTTGTTAGTTATTGTTCCTGTTTAAGTTAAAGGAATTGGTATCAATTGTGATTTTTAACACTTATCAAAATCTTATTTAAAAAATTTAATTTAAATTTTTTTAATATCTGATTTTCTTGTTAATATTTTAAAATTTTTCTATTAAAACTTGAAAAAAAAGTTACGTCGTACTATATTGTGCCTAGAATAGACCTTAAATCAATATAAAGTTATTTGGACAAGATATGTTGAATAATTAGGATAACATGAGACAGTTATTAGAATTCCTAGTTGCCTATTAATTAGTCTATTAACTTTAGAATGAAAAAAATTGATTTCATCTTTCAGAAGAAGAAATGAAAGAATTTTAATATCGAAGGTTAAAAATTTTAAAATATTGATTTAATGTTATACAACAAAAAAAAAAAAAGAGACTTATGGCCTTTTGCTTTTAACTGGCATTTCCCATTATGTTTTTCATAAATGCACTATGGTATTAATCACAGCCAGTAAAAAAGCAATCATCAATTATATAAAATAGGCCACTGTTTTTAAAGATGTTTACTCAGCTCAGGCAATCTGACAAATCAAAAATGAATTTATGTTTAAATAAAGAAGCCTTTTCAATAATAAGTGTTGTTTCAAATTACAAATCTTTAGAATTATTAAAATTCATGCATGGAAATAAGAAATGGAAATTAATGTTGGCATATTTATTTACAATCATATTTTATTAGCTGAAACTATTTGATTTTAAAAGTGTTCTTTATGCATTTATCATTTTAAATGTAACTTACATGTGTCATCCTCAGCCTATATTATTTTTAATCTGTTATGTGATAAATAACCTATTGTGAACATTAATACTTAAATTTATTAATTATAACTTAGTTGTACCTTTTTAATTATTTTAAATTGCTATACAAGTGTTAATAAAGTTAAGCTTTTTTATTTTAAATGAAATAGTGATTAGAATATTTCATTTTAAGGATAATTCACAAAGAACTTATGCTTGATTTAAAGGAGGAAAAGCAAGTCACCAGTATTCAATTCTACCAGCATCCGACATTTAATTTTAAATGATGTTTGCGTTATGAGTGCTAATAATGTAACTCAAATTTTTTTTCCTTTTCTGTTTTTTTAAAAACAGATAAAATAAAATGTCTTCAATAATGTTTTTTCTATTATTATTCTTTCTTTACTCTCATTCGTTTACAATTATCATAATATTCTATGTAATTAATAAGTTTGATTTTTTTAAACTGTGAAAAATATTAATAAATTTTAATTTTAAATATTTTAGTTAACATAATGTATTTATGCAGAATAAAAGTTTCTCGCTATTTCAATCCTATATTATTTACCAACCAAAGAGAACACTATTAATTTTCTAATATATTTATTTAAATTTTTATTTTAGGCTCGCCCAATAGACCACAAGTCTGGAAGTCACGGAGTACCTGGTATTTATTTTAAATACGATATGTCATTTGTTAAAGTCAAAGTATCTATAGAAAAGCATTCCATTTGGAGATTTGTTGTTCGTTTATGTGGTATTGTTGGAGGAGTATTTGCTACTTCAGGTAATCTTCTTTAAAAAATACATTTTTTTTAAAAGGAATTTTCAGAAATAATTTGTGGTTTTTAAATTGTTAAATTTGTTAGCTACAAAATCTTTAAACTGCTTTTTCAATTTCTATATATTCAGGTCATAAAGCATTAGAATACTTTTAAAAGTCTTTTATAATGCTTGAATATGCAATGAGCATTAGAATAAATTGATCTAAAAAACTGTTGTTTTTTTATCATTATTATTGTAGAATTTATTCTGTATAGATTATTATGTTTTATTTTATTTAATAATAGTCAAAAAAAATTTTGAATTGTAAGGTATTTAGTTTTTGCATCAGTTTAATTATTGCAATTTTAAATGGTAAAACACAAAATGTAACTGAAATTGGTTGAATAGTTCCTGAGAAATGGAATTTTAAAAAGCCAATTTTTTTTAACAGTACAGATAAAATTTGATTGCTAACATATAATATTTTATAAATTTTATCTCCAGATTCATATTTGTGACTTAACAAAATACTCAAAGTATCTTTAAACTGTTAATTGAGTACTACTTTAATTTGGATCAATACTAATGAATAAATATTTTGGTAAGTTTTTTTTTTTTTTTTTTTTTTTTTTTTTTTTTTTTNAATTTTTTTTTTTTTTTTTTTTTTTTGTTAATAAACACTATTTATAACACAACTGTTTTTAGCTACTTTTTAATATTTTGTCCTATGTCTAATTATCCACTTCCAATTAATTGCATTATCTAAATGTAGATTGCATTAACGTTTCTTTATTTCTTTTAAGGTATTGTAAGTGCTCTATTCACTGCTATTGTTGATTATGTATGTTGTAAAAGAAACCAGACAAGAAATTCCCATAGGACTATACCAGCAACAAATTTATCAGTTATAAATTTAATAAATGATGAGAATTTGTTAAAAACAAATCAAGCATTTCATATATAATTTATGTAATCTGAATTAAAATTATTTAATGTAAATAGGTTATTTTTATAGAAATTTTTGCACAAATAAAATATTTTCTTTAAAAAAGTCTGATTTTTGTTATGTATTTATGTTTTTTTAATAGATATTTTAATTTATTATTCATTATAAAATGTCAACAAATTTGCATTAAAAAAAGAAGAAAAAAAAAGAGTTTACAATATAATAAATCTGTTCTTTTAGTATTAAATTGTATGCTTAAAATATTATTACATGGCACAGCAATTTAGTTTTTATTAAATAATATATAGTATTCTTTTAACTTATGAACATTTTAGGTACTGCTACTAGGTCACACAATAAACCAATTAATAAAAAAATGAGGTCTTGTAATTTTTAAAAAACCACACTCTTACCAGTAAACTTACTCTACCATTTTTACTCATTTAACTATTTTCCTCCTTCCACTTTGTAATTATAATAATAAAGAAATAACCTCTTAAATAGTCTTGTAATTCTTACATTTAAAATTGTCATAACAAGTAACCTTGATATTGCTCTCGAAAATTGAAAAAATATGCATAGATAAAATAACTGTTAAACTCTTGTGCATGTCTGGTTATTGTTAATTCAAATAGATATTTCATTTTAACGCTGCTATAAAAATTCTCCAAGAAAAAACTATATCTATTTTTATAATTAAACAGTGTATACATTTAAGAAAATTTTTCTGAAAGATTAAATTTCAACTCAAGTAAATGAAAATAAAATATTGTATTTTATGGCTGGATAAGCCTTTGTCATCCAAATATTTTTGTTACAAAATAGTTTTTTGCATATTCGTGAATCTCAGTTTTCATAAGATGCACTTAAGTTATTCTTAGCAAATTATCTTTCCTTTGCCTGTAGAACTTTTTATTTACAATTTTCGGTTAAATAAGTTTTAAAACTTGAGCTTTGAGTAATTTTTTTGTTCAAGTTGCTGTTATGTTAAAAATATTTTTAAAAGAAACATACAATCATCAGTATTAATGCTGCTACAATACATCTCTGTATTAATGCTGCTACAATAATGTTAAAATTTTCTGCAAATTATGTAGAAATTCAAGGATTTGTCAAGACTGCCATTTTTAATTTTATTTACCAGATATTTTAGTTCAAAGTATATAGAAAATAAAAAATATATATCAAAAATGTGTGTATTATTTACAGGGTATTCGAGCACCTGGAAAGCCATAGATTTCGGTATTGTACAAAATTTGTCATGAAATGTCATGATTTGAACTATTTTTTTAAAAAAATCATGGATTTAGGTTGCCGAAAAATCTAATTTTTAAAATGGAATTTACCCCCTCCCCCATTTCATGGTGTTCCGAATATCTGAATTTGTAACAAAATACCCACTCAGTCATATTTGATTAAATATAAAATGTTTTTATCGTGTTCTTTTAAAATTATGGTGTTCTTTCAAAAAAAGAAAGAAAAAACATAATTTCTACAGCGAATTATCTTTTAAACTTCTGTGATTTAAGAATTTTTATTATTATTTTTTTTATTTTATCAATTTAAAATTCTAGCTGAAAGAAGCCAGTTGATCATTCTCGAATTTTTTTTAATTCCGAAATGAGAACAGAAAAATCAGGAGTATTTCTTTCCTATCCTCCGATGAACAAGAAAAGTATCTTTAGAATGTAATTCTGCAGAAAGAAATATTTGCTTTTGTATTTTTTTCAGCTATTTTAATGCTTCAACTCTTTCTTTACATTTAAAATCTATAAATATGAAGATGCAGAGTATAACAAGTGTTGATTATACCTATCATTTTAATGAATGTTATTATAATGCTTTTTTAAATCTATTGTCGTGTTTTTGTCGGGGAAAATAGTAACTTCGTTAAATCATGAAAAATTCTTGGAATTAGTCATGGAAAGTCATAAAATTGAAAATCTAAAATGTAGCAAATACCCTGTATTTATTTTTCATCCGTAATTAAGATTATACCAAGAAAAATTAGTTTCTTTTAAAAAAAATTTTTTTGTTAGCTCCACTTTAAAAATATATTTTGATCATGTGTATAACTAAATAAAGTAAAATTTTTAATTTTTTTACTAATGATTTATTTCACACATAAGTTACAAGCACATTGTAAAATATGATTTTTATTCCCATTTTTATTTCTCCAAGTATGGCAATCAAAATAACAAAGAATAATGGGAGACAATAGACAAAATATTTTAATAGCTTTCAGAATGTCAATTAATATTTAGATTATTAAATAATCAAAACTGTATAATTTATATACATTTTAATAAAAAAAATAATTTCTTTAAAAAATATAATTCAAACAATTTTTTCAACAATGTCAAACATAATAAAATTTTATGAAAAATACAAAATATTTTTATCTCTAAATTACAAATGATCAGAAGCATATTCAATGCAATTTTAAATAGACATCCTATGTATCGTTAACATAAATCTTATTAAAAGACAATAATTTGAAAAAAAATTCATACTGAAAGAGGTTGATTTTACAATTGTAAGCTAGGCTCCCAACTTATACCCAAAATAGCATCATGTAAAACCTTACATTCACTTAATTAGTTACAAATGTCTCCTTTAAACCATTAATGTTTTAAATTGAAATTGTAAGCCTAATTGAAAAACCTATATTTTTCAATTTTACAAATAATCAACCTGAATTAGATAAAAACCAAACTTGTTTCCTAGTTCTTTTTAATCTAATCAACCCATTAAGAAAAAACTCTTTGGTCAAATTTTACAAATATACATAATAGGTACAACATCGTAATATAATTTTGCATGATTTTTTAAACAGATTGATAGATATTATATCCTGACTTAAAATTTTGCTATTATTTTTCAGAAATATAACTGGGTTTTTAATATAAAGTTATGCAATTTTTCAATATAATTTTGGATTTAAAAATATTTAATATATATCTTGCCTTCATTAAATTTTATAATTATATATCATATAATTTCTGGCAAATATAGAAAGTATATAAATATTATACTTTATCTACCCAAAAACATTTTTAAATATAACGAAAATGAATACATGTTTTACAAAAAACTATAAAATTTTTATTTGCATCCAATATAAAAAATCATACAACCATAAAATTTATGAACATTGTTAAATAGTATTTAAACATATATTAAATATCAATTTATTATATTAAATATAAATTATCTTGTTTACAAATAACTTCAATATTAGGTTTCATTAAGACAGGATCTAGATACCTTTTGATTGTACTAATAATTCATTTAACAACACTTGCAGTAAATTTTCACCAATAACGAAGACCCATAAATACAACTGTAAACAATGAATATCAACTCAAACTAGCAACCAAATTTTCCGATGATTCTCAATCTAGACCTGAAAATTAAAATTTTTAATAAGTAGCTGGTAGGCTCTAATTTTATAACTTAGTAACCACCTTTTCCTCAAATCTAAATAATCTGTGACCAATATCGATACGTCTCTTTCACTGACTAGCCACATTTGGCAAACTTTTTTTTTGCTTGGAATAAATTATATTTTTTTTAAAAAAAATCATATTCGAAATAATCTACACCATAAAAAGTTGATCTGTCAATAAAAATAAGATAAATATGTGACAAAATTAAGCTAAAATTATTGAATTTATAAAACTTATTATAATGGGGGAGGCAAAATACACTTAATGTATTTGAAGTGTGCGAATTGGTAAAGAACTCTCCTTTCATCTGAATCTTTTTATCACAAATTGATGGATGTGGAAGGATCAAAACTTAGAATGAAGACATTGGACATTTTAATAAAAATTCTGTTTATTAGAATCTTTCTGGAATGTACTCTGCAGAATGCACTTTTATCATTAAACAATTTTTAAAAAAAAATATGGTAAAAAGTTACTGGTTGTTTACTTAATTTAAGTCGCCACTTTATTTTGTTGACTTGCCACGAGTGGAAATTTTATTTTCAGGTCTATCTTAATCTCACACATTCAACAAATATTTTTAAACTAACTCTTATTATACCCTTCATGATAGAAACTTGAGAGAATTCAACCATACTTAATATTTATTTATTTATTTTTAAAGAAAAAAACACTTTTTGTGTGCTATACATTAAACTATTATTTATAGTGCTTGCATTCTATCTAGATCTTGTGAATTTTCTAACACTGGAATAAATATTTTGATAATAAATTGTATCAAATATAAAATTATATTAAATATTTTTCTCACTTACAATATAAATAAAATTTATTGAATTAATTAACCTCTTTCACAGATAACTTCAACCACACTAGGTTCCATTAATACAGGATCTAAACATCGATTGATTGTACTGCTTAATATCTCATCTAACAAGACATGCACTAAATTTTCATCAGCCACAAAGTGCCATAAATACAGTTGTAAATAATGAATATCGACTTGAACTTGTTGCAAACCGAATTTGCTGAAGGTTCTCAATCTCACACATTCAAGAAATGTTTTTAAACTAATTTTAATTATACCAGTCATGATAGAAACCTTAGAGAATTCAACGGTACTGAAAATTTCAATTTTTTCGGAAAACAATTTTTGTATGTTACTCATCAAACTATTATCAACAGTACTTGGAGCATATGCATTATATTTAGATCTTAGAGATCTTCCAACGCTCGGATATGTTCTTCGACTAGAATCACTGCTCCTTTCGTGGCGAATCCCTTCTTCGTATAACTGCCCAACTTCTGTATCAATTGATGTAACATCTTCCACCACTCTTTTCATAACAGCTCTTACGTTTCTTGGCTCAATAGCATTTAACCAGTCACGGGTCTCAACGCTTTTACGCAACATTTGAGATATATTCAAACCCTGTACCTTTACAAAGTGGTTTAAAAGCTTTTGAGCAACTTCTTTAGTATCAGCAGACAAATCATTTATGTTTGTTGTAACATCTTGAGTTAGAATGGAAAAAGTGCTATCTATGGAAGAAATGAAATCGCTAATGGACGACTGTTCAGAATTAAGGCAAAATCGAGACAGCAATAACAGTAATTGAGCTGGAGCAGTACTTCTCTCATTGCTGTCACAAAACTCTTCACATGTCTTATTTATATGTTTTAAAAATGCCACAACAACACCCTCTCGAACATAATTGCAACTAAATTCTTCTTTGAAACGAATTTTCATTGTAAATGATACATCTGGTGAAATGAATAGCTGTAGATCTGATTCGGCTGTTTTGATAGCAGAGGCTATTTGCATTTCAAATTTATTCAGAATATCGGTAAACGTAAGTGTATTGTCGTGCCCTGCATTGTTTGGAGCAACTATGCTTTGCCTCATGTTGGTCATAGCTGCTGAGAAACAATCCTTCAACTTCATTAAATAATAGTTGCAACGATTTTTAGCAACGTTTTTAACAATTTTAATCCCCTGTATTGTAAAGTCAATACGAGGAAGAAGCCTGTTCATTGCTTGAACTCTTCTATAAAATCTATCTAACGCTCTCACAAGTATAGCACTGTCTATGCAAGTATTTTCTTGAGAAAATCTGATTTCAATAAAGTTAAAATACTGATTCATTAAGTCTTTCACAAATATTTCTAATTTATCAAGAGGTATTGAATGTTTCAATGTATTTTTATTCTCGATGTTAGCAGAATAGTTACCTAGAAACAAGTCCCAATATGATGCAACAACTAATGAAACATTGCAAACGAAATTATTGTAGCTGAAATCAATAAATTCTAATATATCCATACTTCTTTCATCTGATTCGTGTTTTTCACCACTAGTATTCTTATTGTCTGATTCAGTAGTTTGCTTCTCTAGTCTATGTTTTAATTCCATCAGGTCACAATCTAGTTTTTCTTTAGCATGCTTAATAAACTCATCACACAATATTTCAGTGGGTTCATTCAGCTGCAAAAGCAAATCAACACATTCAGCTAATTGTTTTGAAGAAGCATCTTTAAATTTAAACTGCTCTCTTAACTTTATTTTCAATTCATTAACAAGTATGTCACAGTCTTTCTGAATTCCATAAAACGATGGCATATGACTATATTGCAAAAGTACTTTTTGAGCTTTTAAATAATACCTGACAGCCTGCGCATAAGCTCCATTTTCAATACACATCTTTAGGCCAGGAGGTAACTCAAACAAAAACTGCAATTTTTTCAGCAAGGAATGAATACCTGACAATTTCGTTATTTGCTGTCTTCGTCCCTGCAAAGTACTTGAAATATTACCACTGAACTCCGTAATAACTTCCATATTTGATGATAAACCATCCATTTCTTCTTCCATTTTTTTAAAATCATTCTTCATCTTTCTGATGGTATCTGTTGCACTAATGAATTTATTGTAGTTTTCATAAACTAGAGTTTGCATTTCACTATCCAAAGACTGAATTTGGCGAAAAATTTGATTCTCTTTTTGCATCAAACTGCTTAAACTACATTCTTTCAGCAATTTGTGGAGATATAGATCAGGATTAAACTCAGGAGCATTTATATTATAAGGATCAAATCCCTCTTTATTATCATCATTAAAGCCATAATATTGTTTCAGTAAACCTCTATTTCTGCTTCTTTGATCTTCTTCCATCTTATATCGTTTAAAGATAATTAATTTTATAGCATATTATCAAAAAACTTCAGAAGCTGCCAGAGACTACCTTAATGTCTATGGAAGCTGCTCACTATCGCTGACGTTTGTTTACAAAAATTTAACTTCTGAAATTAAGTTGGCTTGCTTACGCCTCTAAATCATTTTTACAGATGCAAATATATTTATTTTTCTGGGATGGCAACGCAACATTGTTGTGAAAATGAAAGTAGCGAAATTACGTCTGCACTCAAATTGATGGAATAAATACTGAAATAAAAACTTATATTATTAAACCTCTCGTATGGATGTGGAATGACTATGTTAAAGAATTATCACGCTGATTTCAAAGTGAATCTATACTTGAAATTAGCCTTTATTAAAATGTTATTTCCATGTTTCGTATTACTGAAATGTGTCTTACCGGCTATGAAGTACGATATTTTTTTTGTTTCAAATAAATATTTGAGTTTTTAACTCCAAAAAATTTCATATATCATTACAATTGATAACTTTAATATAACTGTTGTCATTTTTGTTTGAGAAATTCTATTATCTGCATGAGCCTACTTACAAATGCCCCCACGCACCATTACTTAATCATGACTGGGTTTTTGAGTAAATACTCCAAAATTTACGTTTGAATTGATCATACTGAACCGAACTCTTTGCTTTTAAAGAACAAGTCTGCATTCTTTCTTGGTTGGAAAAAAAAATTCATGCTAAAAACAATGTGAGCGCTTATCCTTTTATTTTACCATATTTTTCTAGGAATCGAAATAAATAGTTTGTTTATAAATCGTGCAATTCTTGAACAAAACTGAAAAAAGTCTTTATCTATGCCAAATTTTTATTTTATTATCACAAATGAATTATGAGAGTTTCTTCCTGTAAAAGAAGAAAGTCATGTCAATATAATGTGTTTATTCCATTTTTTAAATTATTTTGCAAGATTTTCATGGGAAGATTTCCGTAGCGTGATCTGTAGCAGAATTATCGCCAAGTCTGGGCAACTTCCGGGCTGTGGCTCGCAAGAAACTAAAAAGAACATCACAGAAAGGGACCAACTGGAGAGGTATAACTCATAGCCATCCCCGGGCAAATATCTACAGGTTTTTTTATAAAGCATTTGCAAGTTAAAAGTCTATTTGGCACCTTGGCCATTGTAGTTGGCCTCGACAGATTGATACGGAAATTTCCCCATTTTCATATTGAAACCTGTTCATGCTAGCTGTTTTTAGACTCAGTGAAACTACCCGGTTCTTTTACTTGAAATAATTTTAAAAAATATTTAGAGATAGAGTAACTTGTCCAAAGGTTATTAAGAGTCTTAGGTACCTACTTTTTCATTCCATTGGCTCAGGTAAATTTAGCAATTTTATTTACTTGTTTATTTATTCAAAAAAAAAAAAAAAAAACAGTAACTTACTTGCACCAGAAGACTTTGCATAAGCAACTTCATCGCCTGCCCTGATGAAATAGAAAAGTACCGAGTTTTATTTTAGTTATCCTAATTTTGTGGGTTTTTTTTTAGTTTCTTGCATATCACTACTCAGTTGGTGCTCATAGAAACTTGGCAACTTTTTGGCACTTGTGATGCCACAATTGGCATTACATATGTATTTCCTACCTTTTAAAATATCTTTAATTATTTAAACTTATTTGTTCATCAAATTATATTTAAATTAAATCAAGGAGTTAATATTTTAAAGCGAGAATAAAATATTTTATTCTCGTTTTAAAAGATTAACTCTTTGAAGACTTGCTCCAATTTCAGTCTCCAACAATATTTTAAACCTATTAAAAAAAAATTTGAAAAAAATTCAGAGATTTACTTGAGAGTGACTACAAATTCATACTGGTTCCTCTTTTGCAATGTTTCTTTAATTTCTCATGAATTACAGCCTGGAAATTGCTAACATTTTGTTGTAGCTACTGATATAGAAATCTTACTGTCATGCTTAAATCTTAACATTTAATTTATGCTGATATGATTTATTTTATCTTATTTTTTTTTTCTTTAGGTTTTCAAGAGTAACTGGCTTTAAAACCAATTAGTGTTAAGGAAAATAAAAAAATTAGTATCTTCTATAGAAACAGCATGTCATATTTAATGATCATAAACAATTTCTAAACTGGCATGTTACAAACTGCCTGTGTAACATGAGTTTAGTATTCAATGGATGGCGAAGACAACACAGTTGACTCTTTGCTGAAAATTGATAAAAACGCTTGGGAAGAAACGACCGCAAAAGTAATCCAGAACATCGAAGAGCGCTGCTCCAAAAAGGAATATGAAGGATCTGCAACAAAATTTGGTGCTCAGACTGAGTTTTTACGACCTTGGGTTGCTCATAAGTCAGTTAAAAAGACCCATATTAAATCGGATGCTATTCCAATTAAAAACAAATTGGATCCAGACGATTACAGAGGCTCTAAATCTCGTAAGAGCAGCGCCATCTCGAGTGAATCTCACGGGGGCCGATCTGACTCGCTTGAGGATCATTTAGAAGATATAAAGTACATTGATGATAGTGCCAAAAGTTCGTTGTCCACAAGCTTGGAAACACACATCCCCGTGTTGCCCCAACCATCTTCCATTCATCGTCCTCCATCACCTAACCAACAGGTTGAAAGGCCACGTGCCTCTGTGCTTGAAGAACGATACTGTCAAGCATTCATTAGTTCTAAAAATGAGCAAATAGCTGACAGTTGTAGACGGCATTATACTTCTCCTCGCCTTCCTCCTAATCATCATCTGTACACACCTAAATTCAGACATGAACCCAGACTTGTTGTTAGTCCTTTGCCTGCTGAGAAAACAAAATCTGAAAAAGATCACTCTGAAGCTGACTATTTTTCACGTAATTCAATCGGAGATTCTGAACACCAAGTCACTCAAAATTTTTTCATTGAAAAAGATTTTAGGTAAATATTTTATTTTTTAAGCTTATTATTATTTGTATGTATATATTGGTATGAAATGTATATTTAATGCTGAAAGTATTGATAAAAAATTTTAGAGGTTAGATAACTTTTGAAGATAAAATTTCAATTCCCAACTTTTCTCTATTTATTTTACGATTTGAAGGTTTTTTCTTTTAGCTTGTTTTTTTTATTCATTCGTACAAAAATCATTTCTTTCAGCACAAAAACTACTCTTTAGGTCCAATGACGTAAACTTTCTTTTTCGGTCATTTGACTTAAAAAATATTCTTTTTTATTAAATAAAATAAAATAATCATATTTCATAGATTTTACTTATGATTTGAAAATCATTTTATAATTATTAATTTTCTTCTTTAATCAAAAATTTTATTTTATTGGTTTTACTTACTTAATCACGCTTTTTGATTATCTGCTCATGATAATTTGATCAGATTAAATATTATGGCTTTCTTATTTATCAACTTTAATTTTCATTTTTTTTTTCATAAAATATGTTCAAAATTCTGTGTTTCACAATATCTATCTGTTTGAGATTGTTAGTATGATAGATTGGTACACTGAAAAAGAACCCTATTAAATTGGTACTTGTGTACCTAAATTAAATTGTACTATTGAAAAAAAGTGCCAAACAGCATATATTTTTGGCAACAATAGAAACTATATATGAAATACATGGTTGTTACTTTTCTGTTGTCGAAAAATTTTGTTATTTTGTGCTATTTTTTTTATTTAGCCGAAAATGGTTAAAGGGATTTTACAAAAGTACCATAATCTGATAACCAACCAGAAATGTCTTTAAATTATCATTTATTATTATTATTAATTACCTATAGGAAAATTATCCTTGAATAAATAGATAATATGCTAAACTATTCATTATTATAGTTATTTTTTTAAATCCTAAATAAAACATACTCTAAGTGTTATTTTTTGTATTCTAAGTTTCTATTTACAAATGATGGTGCATATCTGTTAACTAAGTACCAAAGAGAAACAATATGACAAAAAAGTCACCAAATTTTAAGAAGGATAGTTATAACTATACTTAGTTATTATCTTGGACACGTTAATAGCAAAATTTAAAGAGTATAAAATGGTTTATTTTTAGGAAAACAGTTTATTAAAATGCTTAGATGGACTACACAATTTGGTATTTGCCTAAGTCAAATTTATTTTCTACAAATTTGAAGGAAGCTCTAATTCCATGGCTTGCTGTGAGAATTTTTTTACTAAGGAATTATCTTTCTTTCCATGTGTTCCATTTTATTTGTGTGAATAATAATAAAAGTAAAGAGCTGGTTTGAATTAATATCCAGCTGAAGTGTTATTGATGATAAACCTTGGTAAAAATTAACTTTCTTTATTCATTATCCAGCTAATAGATAAGTACGTATGATCTTAACATTCTTCTCTACTGAAATTTTATGAAACTTAAAAATCATTTGATTCGATGTATTTATTAAAATGAGATTATATTTCTCTTTCAGATATTACTTTCAACATCCTTACTCACGCCTTTTTGTATCATACTTTGTAATTTTTTGTAATTTTCTGGTGTTTGCCGAAGATCCAGTTTCTCATAGTCATACTGAAAGTGAAATTCCAGTAGTTGGGAATGTGTTCTCTTTTGTCGCTACTAAATACCCTCCACAATGGACATGGCGTACACTAAAAGTGGTTCTTTGGCTGATAGCCATAATTATTGGATGTATTTTTGGGAAATACTTTATTCATCATGTAGTTTTAAGTAAGTTTATGATTTTTTGTTTAAAAGAAAATTTTGTTATATTTGATTAGCCTAGTTTTTGATCTAAATTGCAGTGATGTAATTACTGCTTCTTTTTTAAATATATTTTTGTTGAAAACTGCACTAATACATTTTAAATGTGTTAAAAGATTTAATCTTTTTTGAGAATCTTGTCATTGCTTAAACTAAAATTGCTTTCAACTTATTCCAAAAAATAACTTGTTGTTGCAAAGTGGAGAAATCTATAATTTTAATTAGTTCATTTTATTAATAAGTTATTTATGTTACATGTAAGAAAATTATTTTATATTTACAATACTAGTTAGAATAACAGAATATTTTCAAAATTTTTGAACTACAGCTCCATTAACTCCAAAAATATTTAAAATTGTTGCTCTAAGAAATTCAATGGTTTTTCAATGTAAATTAATTGGGTTCTACATTGTAAAATGACGTAAGATATTTTTTTTTATTTGTAATTTTATTTTTAAACAATTGTAAAACTGGCTTTTAGGTTTGAGTTGTCTATGCTTTATAGCCTTGTAGTGCCTAAATACAGTTATTTGAAAATTTCGTATGAACTAACTTAATTTCCCTCCATTTTTTTTATTTTTAAAAAATGTCTTTTTTTTTATTTTTATTTATTTTAGTTGATGAGAAATTATTTCCTTTTTTTACAATTCAAATGTTACTTTCCTCTTCTAAGCAAAATCATAGGATTCAAGAAAAGCAAGTGTGTATAGAATATGCAGAAACATCTTGTAAAGGAAAATTTGAACATTTTTCTCCAAATTATTATTTTTTAAACTGTACATCAAGAAAAATAATTTAATAACATAAATTTTAATATTTACTTATGAAAATTAATTTATGAGAATTATTTAGGTATTTTTTTAAATAGTGTATATACTTCATAAATATGTTTTCATTAATTAATGTTTATTTTGTATTGCAGATAGATTTTTTCGTCTCAAAATGTTTCGTGATGAACAAGGAACATGGATGATTATGTTTCTCACATCATTAATGTTTATCTTCATGTTTTCCAAAGTCTATAATTGGTTTATCCTAGCAAGTCATCCTCAAAGTTACAGATTTTATATCAATTCTCACATGGGAATAACAAATGCAACTTTTATGAAAGCGGCTGCTTGTGGAACCTGGATTGGAGATTTTGTTACTGCATGGATGGTATGCTTAGATGATATTGATGAAATATTTTTGGTGTAAACAAAATACTTTTTGAAAATATTTCAGAACAAATTGATTATAATGGATTAGGTTTGCTATTCGTTCTAGGAACAGGGAAGACTTAAATTCTCAAGAAATTTGGAAATGTCACTAAAATAATCAGAATTCACAAACACCTTTTGGAAATTTTTAGATCACTAGTGCAATACAAATACACAACTTTACTGCCATCTAGTGATTATTTCGTTTATTTATTTTTTGAAATCAGTGTTATTTTCATAATTCAATTTAATAATTTTGTTATTTCTATGGTTTACAGAAGATAAATTTTTGCCCTCAGAAGTTATGAAAATATCTATTTTTAGTAGTTATCCTAGGGATCGAAATTAACAAAACTTATTTATCAGTCAATGAGTTCAATAACTACTGGTTTGCATTACTCTCTACATGTCTTCATATGCCTCTATTAGATATTTTTTAAAATACTTAAAAATTTATAGAACAAAATAATTTTAGCTAATTTAATATTTAGCTAATTCAATTGAGAATATCTATTTTTAATAATCACATTAGGGATCGAAATGAAATTTAGTTGCTGTTTCTTAGAATTATTAATTAATAGATTATATTAGTTTCTATGTGTTTTCCCTGTTTCATATGCTTCTATTAAATTTTTTTTTAAAAATACCTAAAACTCTATGGAAATAAAGAAGGGATTTAATTATTGACTATGTCAACCTTCATCAATGAAGAGGTACTTTAAGATGGGATCAAATTAACATATCTTATATACTAGTGAATTGGTATTCAATATTTATAGTGGTAGATACGCCACATTACTCCCTTTCCAGAATTTTATCTGTGATAGAATTCGATGAATGGATAACACTAGTTGATTCATGCTGTTTATTTATTTATATTAATTTGACTCATTATATTTTTTTCATTTTTTTTTTTTTTAAAATTTTGTTTATAACATTTCGCTCATTATATATGTATTTTTTTTTCTTCGTTTTTGTTTATTGACCGGGAGACTTCATTTACTTCACCGGATTTTTCTTTCTTTCTTTGAGCAGTATATTTTTACACAAATCAACTGTTTAATGTAGATCATCCATCAATATTTGCAAGTTCTTATCACGTCTGGGTCACCATTGAAGTGATTTAATTATCGACAATGTCAACCTTCATCTATCAAAAGGTACCTCAAGATGGAATCAAGTTAACATGTCTTATATACTAGTGATTCGGTATTATATATTTATAGTGGTTGATGCGCCACAAAATAATTTAAGCCAAATCAATATTTAGAGTTTTGTAAACTAATTAAATAAGGCATAGCAAACTTCATATCAAATGATATTTTATCATTATATTTTAATAAGTGTATTTATTGTTACATATTTATTATAAATAAAGCAATCTATTCAAAGTAAAAAATATATACAGTGGAATCCCGGTTTCATGTTGTCCATTTCAAGATGATTGTTTTTTCTAAAATAACTTTTTTTCTAATTTAACTTTCAGCTCTAAAAGTAAATCATTGATAGCATTGTCTTTAGTGCACTCTGACTGCAACATGAGGTTGTATCATCAAAAAGAACTCTCTAAATAAAAGTCTCTTACAAATATTTAGAATACATTTTAATCTATTGGTTTTGTTAAATTTTTTGTTTTGATATATTTTTGTATTTCCTTATTTGACCTTTTCTGCATTTGGTTTGCTCGGTTGCTGGAAGAGGTTTTAATGGTCTCTCCTAAAATTCTATGGAAAAAACTATGTGCTTCCTAAAAGTGGTCGTAAATAGAGGTGGTCTTTCTTAGAAGTTTCACTGTATATATATATATATACAGTACAGAACCCGTTATCCGGAAATCAGAAAACCGGAACGAAAATCGATACATTTCCCCCCCCCCCCATTTTTTAAAAAAAAAAAATTTTTTTCCTCATAAGATTTTAGGATTTTTCTTTCTTTTTTGAAAGATGTTTACCTTACCATCATTTTAGAAATAATCATTAGTGTATTACTTCATCGTTTTTTCTTCTTTTTAAGTTATTTTCAAATACTTTTTTTTTTTTAGTTGGGTTTAACAATAAAAAAAACGGCTTTTTGTATCGATTCAGAAAAACGGAAAAATCAGCTATCCGGAATAGCGATGGTACCGATCGTTCCGGATAATCGGTTCACTACTGTATATATATATACAGTGTACATATGTACAATGTTCATCATCATGAAGACAAAACGTAGACCAAAGCAAAAAACCAAATCAACATTAGTATACATAAATTTTTACGCTCGTGATAATGATTGGTTACATGTTGGAAAAACCACTGATTATCGTTTTGTGGCTGTGCACTGTATGTTATGGTTCATATTTTGTGTCATTTATGCTTCTTATGCCATTTATAACCTGTACATGTATAATAAAAATTATTCTAAATTGTAAATTTCATAAGAATAATCACCAAGATGATAACATGAGCTGGACCAATTATGAAGAAACTTAAATAACAAGCACTTAAACCAAACATTTCAAGGTTAATAAATTTAACTTTCAAATCAAATTTCTATTCTCAGCTACATATCAGTAAGAGTAATACTTCTGTTTTGTAGAGGACATTTGTCTTATTTTTTTATGTGATATGTAAAAGAAGAAATAAGATTCATTAAGTACAAGATCCATAATTGTTTCAATTCTGACCATGTAACATTGCTTATCAGTTATTACTTATATTTTTCAAATAACATTTATTAAATGTGTTTAGGTTACTGATATGATGCTCCAAGATAACTTGTATCCGTTTTGGGCAAGGCCTTACAGAGAATTTTGGCGTTCTCACGGACGCATTCGAATTGTGATATTTTGGACTGGATCAATTGTAATGACTACTTTAGTTGTTACCCTGATTGTAAGTGACCTCATTAGCTGGGATAACTTAAATAGAGATTTTGTTGCTACTACTGAACTTTCCAGAGCTTTCTTAGCCTCATTTATACTAGTGATGGATTTACTTATAGTGATGCAAGTAAGTGATTAAAATTTTTTTTTTTATCAATCTTAAATTAACATTTTTTTGTTGGAACTTTTCCATTAGATGAGTCCAAGCAAAAAATCGCCAAATAATGTAAAATTCCACCAAATTTCTTACAACTATTGGGGGAATATTAATTTGGGGCCACATGCTCTATTCTCTTAATTCATTCAAAACAAAGCACGTTTTCCTTTCTTTCTTCCATCTTAATTTTTGTTTTATAAAATGATGAAAATTTGGAATTTAGCCAGAACTGAAGATATTGCAATTCATTAATATTTGTTTATAGTTGAACTTGTTTTGCTTACTTTTAATAAATATTTGCTTAAAGTTGAAAGTTTTCGACTTTTATTCCGTGACTGTTTTGTCATTCGCTTCTCTTGGCGACTTGGCTCGCGTTTGGCTCACAATTAGCGACATTTGGGCCCAGCTAATGAAAAATTACCCTTTTTTTTATTTACTTCAATTTAATATGAATAATTTAACCATTTTTCAATTTGTTATATGAAGTATTTTTTGTTAAAAATATTGTTCAATAAACAATAACAGCAATTTATCCGATACATTATCAATCTCATAGACATGTTTCTGTATAGAGTAATTTTTAGAATTTTGTATTTCACTCAATGTTTATTATGCGTTATTTAATTTTATTATGAATTTCTATTCATTGTTTGTTTCTGTATTATGTAGTTTTAAGAATATTTTATCTAGTTAAAATAGTTTATTATTTTAAAAGATGTATACTAAATTGTAGTGCAATTGAAATGATACTCTAAAAACAATCTGCTTTTGTTATTATTTTTTTGAAAAAAAATTATCTGATGGTAAAAACTTATGTATCTAGAGAAAACATATTTTAAGTATTGCAACCATTTTAAAATGTTTAGAAACAAATAAATTAATGAAAAATTATTAAAGTAAAAATTGATTAATTAATCATTAGCCTACTTTAACTTTCATAATGAGAAATTTTTTTTAATAAAACTTATCCAAGTTTAATATGAATTAATTTTATACATAACATTTTTATTTACTTTGTTACTAATGTTATGAAATTCCACTCTCACATTGTGAAATTCTACCAAACTGATGCACATATTTTACGTACAGTACTTACCTTTTCTATCAAAAGAACTGAATCATGTCCAACTTTTTTTTTCATTATTAAGGAAAAGCACAAATTTCTTAAGATATTGTGAAATGATTTTGACATTTTTTTTTTTAAATCTTCGTCTTATGAGGTTTTCTTTTTATTAAAATAATGTCTTTTAATTATGTAACCGAACAATTCAAAAATTTAATAAAACAATTGTCACACCAAAATAATTGTATCTTACACTACAAGATTTCCATATCTTGTTCCGGAAAAGAAAAATCAATAATCTCTATGCAAAATAATTTTTTATAAAAGTATTTACTGGCATTTGCATATTTCGTATTACTGCATTTTACGTATCCCTACTTTCCAAATTTTACGATTTCTGGAATTTTTATTTCTTTCTGTTTTTATTAAGGAAAAATCCCTTTTTAACTAATACCTAATGAATCCTGATTAAACTAATTATTTTCGCAGCCAGCCCAAAGTATTTTTGTTTGAGTTAGAAAAATATTAGATAGCTTTTCAAATGACTACAGTATTCATTTTATCCAGAGCAGAAAAAAAATTTGAAATATAACAATTAAAATACATTTGATGAACTGTCTATGCATTGAAATTAATGAAATAATTGATTTTTACTAAAATGTGATGCAAAAATCAATAATAAAATTTCTAGTAAAACTATTAATTTTTTTCTAATTTTTTACATTGTTTGGAAATTGTGAAATTATATCTAGTGCAGCAGGATGAAAACTAGCAATATGTTCTCTCTTATTATTAAATTTTAAATATTTTGTAAAGATTAGATTTACTTATATGTTGCGATTTCTTCCCTCCATAAAATCACAAAAAGAACTTTATCTTTTGAACTAATTATCGAGTCTTTACATTCGAGGATGCTAATTAATTGGTGCTGGCGATATTAAATCTTAAAATCAGTCGCAAAAGCGTACTTTCTCTGAATAAATGTTTGTATATATTTTTTTTACTGTTTCGGATTTGTGCAATCTGGAAACTATGGTCCCCCTAGTCAATTTTATATTTTTGAATATTTAGTCAAATCTCGAGAAATTTTCAAGCGAATAAAAAAAAATTTTCACACAATTATAAAATTTGCTTGTCCAAAGATAAATCCACTCAAAAAATAAATTTTAGTTAAATTTTTTCATTATTTTGTTTAGTAATAGTCAAAAAAAAAATTTAATTGTAAGGTATACTATTTTTTACATAATTTTAAAGTATCTAATTTTACATGGCAAATTTAAAAATTTAAGCAAAATCGGCTGAATAGTTCCTGAGAAATTAAATTTCAAAAAAGTCGTGTATTTAGAATTCAATTTCTTAGAAACTATTCAAACAATTTCCCTCAAATTATGTATTTTGTCATGTAAAATTAGATACTTTAAAATTATGTAAAAATTTATATTTTATGACTGTTATTAAATAAAATAATAAAAAATAGCAAATATTTACTAGAATTTATTTTTTGCGTGGAATTATCTTCGGATAAACGAATTTTATATTTGCGTGCAAAGATTTTTCAGTTTGCTTAAAAAGTTCTTGAGATGTGACGAAACACGCATAAAATAAAATTAACATTAGGGCGTCCAAACTTTGCATCACTCTCCTAACCAAACTATGGGACTATATTTCCCAGATTGCGGCTAGCCACTATATTTTAGGAGTCAGAAATCCAAATCTTTCGAAAAAAGGTATGTTTATTCAGAGAAAGTACGTTTTGTGTCTGATTTCATGACTTAAAATATCTATAATTTTTTTGTTTTTGTGCCTTGTTATACAAATTACTCTAATTTAACAAATAAAATTTTTGGTTCCTACTAAATTGTTGTTATATCAGGGCTCAATTGTATGTATATCTATATGTATTGGATGCTTTTTCCTTCATACGTGACTGAAAAATTCAATATTTGTTATCATTTATAATTAAATTAATTTGCAATCATAAATTATTGCAAATATTTATTTTACAATTAATCAATATTCTAATATTTTTATAGGATTGGGATTTTCCTCATTTTGTGTGCGATTTAGATGTTAAGCTTCCTGGTATGCATGCTGCTTCATTTAAGTTTGATTTATTTCAAAAGTATGTGAATCTTCCAGATGTCAGTATACATGTTACTGGTAAGTATTTAGTTCTAATTTTAGAAAAACTTTTTTACTTTTATCTTTTAATACCTATGCTAAAGTTTTTTTTCCCTTCTCTGATTTTAAAATTATTAATAGTTTGATGGAAAGGTAACCTATAATTAATTATAAATAAATTAATTATTGCACTATTGGGCATAATTGTGTTCTTAATTTTTGTCTTTTTGAAATGAAAATTTATTTGGAATTTTATTTTTCTTTTATAATTAGAAAGTTCTTATTAATAAATTCTCAAGGATGTTTTTTACAAATTTCAGTAAAACTAAATATTTTTAAATGTAAGTAGTATTCATTTTTCTTCAAATTTTAAGAAGTTATAAAAGTTTATCCTAAGTAAAACTGAAAAAAATAATCTTTGAAAATACTTTTTACTCATAAATCTCATTATAAATTTTTATTTTTAATTTCAGTTAATTTTTTGTATATATTTTTCATTATTTTAATATAACATTTACTTTTTTATCTCATTCTTTTTTAATAGTTATGAATTATGTGAAATTATTTCCAAAAAGAAATTGAAAAAAATTATCATGGTAATAATCTAATGAAAGGTTTGCACTTTAGCTGTGATATAACTCTTTTATATTGAATATTTTTAATTGAATATAGCAATATCATTCTATAGGAAGTTGAATTAAACTTAGTCAGTAAAACTCTAGGCTATATTTTTATTTCCTTTTTCTGCCTCAATTAATTTAACAAATGTATTTCATGTTAATAAGTTTAATGTTTAATTTAAAATTTAATTGAATGATTAATAAAGTGAATTTTTGTTTCTAAATTGTCTTTTTTAAGGGTGAAAACTTTTTTAAAAAATAATTTTGCTTAGCTACTATTTATCTTAGGACAGAACAAATAAAACTATTTTAATGTTTTTGAAATCTATTTCGTTAATGACAATAGCACTGTTATTTTAATTACTTGCTTATCTTTGCATAATATTGAATCGCACTTATTGAATATTGTTATAGCAATACTAGTTAAGTAGTTTTTCCTTAATTAAACAATTTATAGATACTCATAGCTAAAAAACAAATTAATCTGAAATTTATCATATTTGAGTTTAAGCCTTCTTTTAAAAGTGAAAGATACTAGTGGATATTAATAGTAGCAGCAATCATGTTAATACCAATTGTTAACATTTTAACCATTGCACTTTTTTTCCATAACAGCTTATAAGGCTTCAATTTCTATGTCAAAATTTAAATTATTCAATAAAGGTAATTTATTGTAATGTTTTAATTTTTTGAGTGTAAAATAAATGTTTAATGTTTCAGGAAAATGGTTCAATTACAGTATAATAGTTTTTGTGATGATTCTGGATTTAAACATGTGGAAAAACCAAATATTTTACATTCCGGTTGAATATGGACAGTATACAGGGCCAAACCAGAAAGTTTTTTCAATTCAAGATGCAGTTCTTTTAACAGCAAGTAAGAATGTTAAAGCTTAAATAATATAACTTTTTTAATGTTGTTTTAAGATATAGTATTGAACTAGCATTGTTTACTCATTAATTTCCCTGCACATTAAATGTATTAAAAATATTCTAACAAGAGGAAGCATTAAAACCTTTGCTAAGTACTACCTCTAGTTTTCATTCTTAGATTTAATTTAATTAGCAAAATTATTATTTTGAAAATTATATTAATACTTTTCTTGTATAATAGAATGTTAAATATTTTATAAAGATTATATTAACTTAACTTAATTAGATTAAACTTGGGAGATTTTTCTTAAAAATTGCCTAATATAAATGTGATCTTAAAACTGGTTCCACTTACATTCTATACTGTGTCAAATAACATAGATAGGACATGGGGAAGGTATAATTTTCCAACTTGGTTTTGGCCCTTTTGTGAGAGATTAGTTCTAATGTTTTAAAAAAGATATTTTTGTTTCACTTTGTTATTTTTTTAACTGATATATATTTAAATGCATTCATTAAAATTATTGTTTTAAACATGCTTATAACTAAAATTATTATTCCCACACCATGTTATCATTCCCCCACTTTTATAAAAATTTGTATTTTTTTTTCCTCCGTGTTTTATTAAAAATAAAAAATTTAAAATTTCAGACGCAATTACTTTTTTTCACTACCAATTTTTTGCTGTCACTACCTAAAAATAACCTATGTGTAGAAAATGACCCTATTATTAATTAATTCATATTTGTTTTAACCTAATATTGACGTCTTTATGTGTAGAAAATTCCTCACTATGGACTTATGAAATACGGAGCACTCAGATAGATCCAATGACGAATAGAACACTTCTAGAAGGGGATATAAACATGAACTCAAGATATTTAGGTTACCCTCTGTCAGTTAAGGGAATGGCATTTATGCCATCTTTGATAGGATTTGCCATGTTTGGAATTCTCACCTATCTGTACGGACGTTTCCCACCTCCAACAGAAATGGTTTACGGACGCCACCGTAAGCGAAAGAGGGAAGTTCCGCGCAGCAGCTGGAGGAGAGAGAGAGGAAACCGATGCACGCACTATCTCATTCATAACAAGGAGAAATACCCGGAGGAGAAGAAAAAAGGTAGTAATCAATTGGCTGAATTGATTGTTGCTTGGGAAGAAAATGTAGGTACTACAAAGCAATGTGAAAAACCGTTATGACATACATAATTTACTTTTATCACTCTTTTTATTGCTAGCTTTATAGGAAGCCGCAGAATTGCAATGGCTCTTTTTCTGGTTTTCTATACCTGGTGTGCTACTGTTTTGTTTTTTTTTATGTTTGACATTATGCAACTGCTTAAGTAAAATTAAAAGTTATAGATTTTTAATGATGTATACAATATAAACTAAAAAATGAAACAGCTAAATAATTTTAAATCTAATGATCAGATATTTTTTACTAACTTAAATTATTAATTTTTGAGAGGGTCAACTTAATATACTAGTTAATTAGAGTAAATGATATTTCAAGTTACAAAATTGTCACAAAAGCATACTTTGTGTGCATAAACGTAATACAAATGAATAAACTGCAGTCCAATGAATTCAGAATCTATAAATGATCAATATATGGGCTAGGGGTGGTTGCAATCTAGAAAGTAAAGTTACAATAAATTTGTCTATAGCAGCGGTTCCTGATTTTTTCCAGCTACGGAACCCTAAATGATTAACCTTTTGTCAACAGAACCCCAAATTATTAGATAAATAATATAATAGATAGAGTAATTAATAAATAAGTTCAATACCAATTCTATATCTATTCCAAAGAAACACTACCAATCATTTTGAAAATATTAATGTTAATTTTGTCATCGTTTTATCAATAATAATCTTAAAAATAGATTTCATGTTAGACAGTTGAATTAACAAATCTGAAGCAATCTTTGTCCACCTCTAAATTTGTTCTTAGTGTTTGAATAAGCTGAAAATGAAAGAAAAAAAGCTGAATTATGGTTTTTGTTGAAATGGAAATTGATTATGAATATTGAATAAACTGTCATAAATGTTGAGAATGGTAATCAAAAAAAATACATTTTTTACTGTTGAAATTTGTTATTTTCTTTGAATTGAAAAATTGGATGGGAAATATTGATGCAAATCTTTTATAAATTCTAATCTTTTTCATAATTTATTCAATATAATGTTATTAAAAAAAAAAATTTTATTTTTTTGCTGACATTTTGCTTAAATAATATCATAAAAATTACCAAAATATTAAATGAGTAATGGATTGTTTTGATTGGGTATAAATATAATAAGAGGTTTAGAAAATATTAATTGAAATTTATTTTTTTTTTGAGAAAAATTTTTAACTCTGAGATTCCCTGTGACTCTTGCATGGAACCCTAGGAGTTCGCGGAACACCTTTTGAGAATCGCTGCTTTAGAGATCCATTTGAAAATTCACTTCAATATTCAAAAATTTTGAAAATTAATAATTAAAACATTCTTTTTTTCTTCTTTTTACACATACATTATTTTTAATAATAATTTTATTTCTTTTAGTATCCAAATTAGAAAATGTGGAAAACTATTATTTAGTTTTATAAAAACATGTTTCTAAACAAATATTTTCAATAATAAATTTTAAATCTTATCACAAATAAAGTAATTGATCTTAGCAATTACATTTAAACATTAAAAGGAGAATATATATTGTTTGTTAAACATCAGGGAAAAGACAACAGAAAAAAGTCGGGGAATTTTATCATGCTGGAAAAATCGGGAAAATATCAAGAAATTTAATTTTAAAAAACCTGAAAAATGAGGGAAAAGTTTTTAAGTTGCATAAAAGTCCAATATTTTTTCCGAAAAAATTAGTCTTGCAATATATATTTTTTAAATTTTTTGATTCTAATAGCAAGTATAAGTTTATTTTTTTAAAATTAATTTTATGTATAAGAATAAGGCATAACTGAAAAATTAGTAATAAAATTTATGCTTCCAATTACAAAAGTTGCTGAAATTTGATAAAATCAATCTGTAAAAGTCAAGGAATTTTTATCTTGAGTGTTTGTGCCACCCTGGTCTATGGATGGGGATTAAAACTGCTAGTTTATCAAATTAACATATGTTATTTTACCTAATTCTTTCATTGTCAACTATTTTTATTGTCCCAGTTAATATCATATTGGATTTTCCATTCAAAAATTTTGCTATATCTTTTGAATGAAACTCTTTACCAACTCTGAAAATAATAAGTAGCACATCATGTATAATTTTTGAAAACCATGATATTTAGTGTCGATAAAATCATAAAAAACTGAATTGTATGTTTGTGAAATTATCATAGTTTAAAACAATGTTATCACATTGAGCCTAGCGTCAGAAAAAGTGATATGAATATATAAATATATATATATGAGGTATTTTGTCTGCAGAATTGTGGTTTACTTTTTTATGTGTCCTTCTGTTGTCTGTATGTGTTGTGACTCTTGCATTTCTATAATAAAGTATTTTCATAGGATTTCTGCCTTGTCTGCAAAAAAGTGTGTCACATGAAGTAATATCTCTAGAAAGATATTACGTAATTTAAATTATTTATCTTACTTAAACTTACTCTAGTCAAACTTTTAGTGAGATTTTTTTAATTTCTTCTCTCCTTTTCCTTTCAACCAGGATAAGTGCAAAGTATTTTATACATTATTTACTTCCTAATGCATTTCTAATATGATTTTAAAAGTATTTTATTAGTGGTTTCCTGTAATGTGAATGCTGCCAACCTACGTATAATAAATTAAAAAAAAATCAATATATTTTTAAGCCTGTGTTTTATAGTATTCTTTCTACCCGATGATGAATATTTTCATATGAAAGATTTTTTCCTTCGATTTTCTGATTTCTTCCCCCCCCCCCCAGTGNCCCCCCCCCCTCCCCGAGTGGTAAGAAATTATTTTTCTGATCCAGGCTAGTGCCCGTACTCTGATTTCTACCAGTCATCTGGGTTGCTGATTCAATACTTCAAGCTAGAAGCCCATTTTAACGAAGAGCGGGAGTGAAAGGAAGCATTGGGTTGCATATAATTCTGCAATTAGGGATGTTGTTCATGAGGGGTATAGTGGGTATATGTCCCCTTTAATATTTAAGACAAATAAAGAAAATTTTCATGACTTCTTATGGATTTAAACTTATCGAAGGTAAAAAAAAAAAAAAGATTATTCTTTTTGCAGACGTTTAACAAATTAAAAATTATTCTTTGTTATATGTAACATTTTTGGAACTAGTGTGACTGTGTATTTTAATCCCATTCCCCTTAAAATTTGCCCATGCTAGGAATACTGCTCTTCCGAGCAACAGATTCAGTTCTTAATTCTTATTGGCCGAAGCATATTTCTGGAAAGAGAATAATAATTTTCTTCAGTAGTATAAATATCCGAAACCTGATGAAAGAAAGTACCAAAAAAATGCTTTTATTATTTAAAGAATTTAGCAATTTTAAAATAACTTATTGGGAGTTAAGTCAGGACCATAGATATAAATGTGAAGACTAGTTACTAAGCTTAAATAAGAAATAAGGAAGCAAACTTGACATATTTCAACTTCAACCAATCAGATTGTTCTCTATCGGCCAGTAACTTCCATAGGGATTAGTAAGTTGATGTAAAACATTTGAAACCTGTCTCACCCTGAGTGTTAAGAATGGTTGACCCCTTTGCTGAAAATAATAGATTTTTCCATCGATTCTGATCAGTCACCAATTTTGGGTGTGGGTAGATATAGTGTGTGTATGCTGTAAGAACTCCCCCGGTTTACATAACAAGAAAGCTAATATCGCCAATACAATAATTTTTAACTCGTTAGAATATTTTTTTAAGAGGAAAAGAGGTTTTAGTATGGTTTTTGTTTTGCATATGTTCGTTCTCTTTAGATTTGTTTTTCTTTGTTCTGTTTGTTTATTTTTCTTTCCTTGTGTTCATTTGAATAGTTATTAAAAATAAATATTTATGACTTTTGGTTTACATATGAAAAGACTCATATTTTATGCATTAATTTTTAACTAACTTTTTAACTAAGAAATGCAAGTTAAAAAGTTATGTAAATTAATATTGATTCTTTTCCATCATTTGTTTAGAAATAATTTTTAAAAATTGGTAAAAAATAATCTGTTGTGTTCATTATTTTTGGCAACAAATGAAATAAATTTATTAAAAATATTAGTGTTGGCAATTGTTTGATTACAGAAAATCCATGTTTCCTACATTACATACATATTTCCTTAAACATAGTACATGACTTAGTACCAGTTTTAAGCAACTGTAATTTTATTAAATTGATTTTGTTTTTAATAAAAAAAATTACTCTCACAAAGTATCCCATTTTGCTCAATTCTGTTTTCTTTAAACAATTATTTTTATTAAATTTTTTAATTCCAAAATTAATTTAAATGACTTAATGAAAGTTACATTATCTCAAATTAATTAAAAAATATTTAGTTCATAAGGCATTGTTAATATTTATAGTATAATCTAAAACTGTCCATGTTTTATAATGATGTAAGTTCTATTTTATTTTTTATTAAGAAAACATTGTGTTCCATATTTGTATACCTTTTTATTTAGAAATTCTTACAAGTTTAATTATTTGTTTTAAAATAATTAACATTACCTTTTTTGTGTATTTATTTGTAAAGAATTATATTTTGCATATTTCTACTGCTTCCAAATTTTCATTAAAAAAAGTATTTATTTATGTACTAAATATTTTACTATAAATATCACTTTCTATGTACTTAGCACATATTTTTAAATCATTTCTTTTGTTAAATGAACTTTAAACAATATATGTATATAAATGTAAAAAATATTCGAATCTTGAAAAGAATCACACAATTTATAAATTTTAGCATAAAAGATATTTAAAGCTATTGAATTTCAAACTTAAAATTAGTATCAATCATTTTGTCTCACTTCTTTCACCTGAAACAATATAATGATAAGCCACATTTTCAAATAGTTTAGAAGAGCGGTTTTTTTTCTCCAAAAAATACCATAGTTTCCATGTAGGCAATAAAAAATTTTCTGTGCATTGTGCTGCTCTCTAATAAAAATTTCAGAAAATTGTAAAGTACCTACATAGAAACAATGCTAAGAAAGTGCTTTATGTAAAAATGTCATCTTTGGAAGAAAAGTAGGATTTTTCACTATATTGCCCCAGAGTCCTTCATATGTTTTTTTCCCCCTTAAGCATTAATAACTTAAGTTGTCTCATTGAAGAAAAAAAAGTATCTTTTCCCAAAATTTTTCTTTCCTTAATTTAAATAAATATTTTAGGCTTTATTTCAATATCTGCTTTGTTACAATTATTAACAATATAAAATAAATGGAAATAATTAGTAATTTTAAAGTTCAGGTGTGTCGTTCCAAACTAGTATGAGATGTAACTTAAATGATATATCCGGGGTTTATTTTAAGTGTCACATTATATTTATATAAAGGGCTTCGAGCAATATAATGATTACGCTACATTTCTATGTAAGCAATAAATTGTTTCTGTGTATTGTACTTTTATTTAGTAGCAATTCTGGAAACTTGTGAAGTATGCATTTTGAAACAACATGAAATAACAGTTTGGAATAAAAATGTCATCTTTGGGAAAAGTGTGGCTGATAACTATATTGCCCCAAGTCATTCATATTTAATTTTATCTCATGTCATCTACAATTGAAAATGTTAAAGTAAAAATGCCTGTTTAACTTAGTTTTTCGTGCCTATATTTTCACAAGTTGTTCTCGTTACATTATATGCGTCTACAAATTGGTCATCAAAAGTTGAAATAGTTAATACATTAAGATGAACTTTATTTATTTCAATTCACTAGTAATATTTAAGAAGTTGTGTGCTGTTGGTTAAAAATAGCTGAGAGGAAAAATGAGACTTTCCATATTTATTTTTAAGGTTACTAAATTTTACTTTGTTAAATAATTTGTCATAAGGTTGTGGCATTATTGAAGAATACTTCACAATTGTTCTTATTTTAGCCTCAAAATCAATTAATATTTGTGAGCCAACAAATCCATTCTATTAGCAACTAATTATAAATATGTTATCCCCATTAATAAACAGCTAATATACCCAGTTGATCTATAGTATTTAGTGCTCATTTTCATTAGTGTTCTTTCTCATTTATAAAACTCTTTATAAAGTTGAACTTATTGTTTTACTCAAAAGAAAACCACAAAGGCCTATCAAATTTTAAGCCTAAGTCACCTGTTTAAGAATGAGGTGTTTGTCCCAGAAATATCATAGCCTCATAGTCAGGTATTGATACAAAAATTATTATTGTGCTCTTTATTTTTTAGCAAGGCTTAACATTTTCTATTTATCTTAAATTACAAAAAGAAAAAAATGTTTTTATCGATGCAGGTAAAATAAATAAATGCAAATGAAAACACCTTATGGACAAAGTATTTTTCAACAGTTTGTAATTTCTTTCATTATTGCTCCTCTTCCTTTACCAATTCTTGTTTTCTTTTTCAAGTACTTTGACTTCATATTTTTATTTATGGTATACTTTGAATTAACATACACAATTTGGATTACATTAAGTGCTTCTTTACTAGTGATTACAAGAGAAGAAGTTATTTCCATTACTCTTTTTTTAATAGTTTTTACCTATTTCACCCTTATTAGTATTCACATCATCCTTAGCATTGTTTAAAAATATTAAGCAGTACTAAAATAAATACTTTTATATATTATTTGATTAAAAATTTCATTCGCTTCAAAAATATATAAATTGGAAATAATAGTCAACATGTTTGAAGTATTCAAAAATAGGATAAAAATGAGAAGGAATAAAAGTGATATGAAATATTAAACGTGAAATTGCCAACGAAAAATAAAAGTGAGAAACTAAATAAGAAAAACCACAATATCCGAAGAAGAAAGATAAAAAACAGAACTAGAAAATCATAGTGGTTAGAGGGGTATGTTCTTGTTCTGTTTTTCATAATTTTTTTCTCTCTCAGCTAATGTAGTTCTTGTTTGTTTTTATTTTTTATTGGCATATTTAGATCACTTTTGTTTCTTCTCTTCCACGTCTAGCAAGTCTTGAAAATGGGCCCCTATTTTTGAGCATTTGAAGCATGTCGACTGTCATTGTGCATCTTTGAAGCAAAAGAAGTTTTTAAATCAAGTAATATCTTACTGCTTCAGTTTCCTAGAATTATCTATTTAGCTTTCATATATCATATCATCACAGTTGCTAAAGTTAACTGATTTTGAAATAAGTTGGATTTAACGACAATTTTTCGAGCTGCACTTCCAACCATAAAGCGGTTTAAAAGATTTTCTAGTATCGCCTACTTTTTCATTCAATGCCACAACCTTTATAGTTAATGCTGTGTATAACGAATAAATAATTCTGTTTTTGACTATTGTTAAGATTTTTTTGTTTCATTGCCTAATTTCAAAAGTATATTTTATTTCAAAATTGTTGGATCTTTTCAAATCTTTTTGTTTATTTATTTTTTATATAAATTTACCTTATTTAGCAATTCGATGTATGTAAAAGTTGATTAGAAAAATATATAATTCATAGAAAATAGTTTTAAGAGTAAAAATATCTCACAGTATTTTAAAACTGTGTTTTTTATGATGATTCCATTTTTCTTATTCACCAGAAGTCAAAAATAAATGTAATCAAAGATTAGTGAATAATAGTTTATCATATGAGTAACTTGCACATAATACTGCCATAAATTGTACAAAAACTACTGTTTAAATTTTTAATCTGCATGCCCGCTTTTTTCTATTTCTTCAGTTTTCTTAATGGTGTAAATACATTAAATGTGTAAAAATTTATATGATAAATAAAAAAAGCTTTTCTAATAGAAATTTATAAGCAATATGAATTACGCTTATCAGTCAAATCGGGGATTTTCTAAATATTTTCTCCATAATATCATAAATACACCAATGAAGTAAATGTGTTCAAAGAAATTTGAAATCTCTGTTTCTTTTCTCCATACACTAATTGTTCATTTCAAATAAATTGTGAGCTTTATAGTTCGCATTGTTGTGCAAACTAAATAAATATTTTAATAATCTAGGTTGTCTTTGTTAATTCGCATCTATTTATTGACCTTTTTAGATACATGTTTAAAAAATTCCAACAATATATTTAAACTTATTTTGTACAAGTAATTTTTAATTGAAATCTATTTTTAAGTGCAAATCACTAAATTTTAAGATACTTTACAAATTACTTTTGAGATTTTGCAAATTATAACTAGAAATTTTTCCTCTTTTTTTTGATTATTTGTGAACTTAGAAGTTCACAAATAATTAAAACAGCAAGCTTCTGTACTTAAACTTCTCTTAGCAACACACGAAAAAAAATTATGTAGTTTATTTATGTTTTTTTAAACATAATCTTGAGTTTTAGTTTCTTTTAGCCTGAAAACATGTTATGAATATGATCTTAATCACCTAAAATTGCCATGGACTAACTCTCTTGGTACGATTTTTCCAGCATCGGCAATGTCCTGAGAAAAATACTCATTACAGAACTGGCTGGAATTATCAGGCGTAACTACTTAAATATGAAAATAAAAATATTATCAAATGTTATCACCTGAATAATATTATCACCTCAAAAGCAATTTAAATATTGCTCAGTGTACTCGGCATAATATTAATAAGCATTAACTATTCTGTGCTAAAAACTAAAAAGAGCAACAATAAAAACCTATTTATTTAAATATTCTTAATAAATACTATGTAACCTTATTTTTGACAGCTGCTCTTAGTTTCGCAGATCTACTTCTAGGATTTTGACTTATTTCTTCTTCTGTTGGTGTTATTACATGTTTATAAAGTGATGTCCATTTCTTTGAAAGCACAGCATTAATGTCTTCCTGAGAATATAACACATTTGCATTACGATATTTTTGTCTTAAAGTCTGAGATACAGGTTCATCTATATGTATGCCCATAATATGACGTTTAACAATACGGTCTTCTAAGGAATGAAATGTAAGTGCTGCTATTTTACCACCAGGTTTCAAATAAGTATATGCCATTTCCATAGCATAGTTAAGTTCATTCAGTTCGTCATTTACAAATATTCTTAGAGCTTGGAAAACTTTAGTGGCAACATGAGCTGATCTGTTTAATTTATCAAATCTGCTCCCCCTGAAATGATTAAAAAAATATTATTACCTAATTTAAAATGATCGTAAAAATTAAAACTGTTTTTTTTTCAAGTTTTACTATCACTTAATTTCAGGAAAATGAAACAAATTTGTTTTCATAATTTTTGTATTATGATACAAAAGAAATGTATTTTGAAAAGTGATCTAATCTTCATTCTAATAAGAGACATTTTGCCATACTGGTAATTCTAAACTTTTTAATTTTTAAAACATTTTTACCCTTAATGGGAGTATGTTTAAGGGACATTGCAACATGGAAAAAAAGTAAATAAGGGACAACTAAAGAAGATATATTTCTAAATATTTCAATATATCTTTCTCAAATATGACATAAGACAAATTTAAAATTAATTTCACATTTCAAAGATTTAATAATATGTTTGACCTCTTGCAAAAAAAAAATGGATACCTTTTTCAAATTAAAAATTTTTACTAAATATCTTCTGTTCTTTTTAAAAAGTATGCAATGTAACTTAGTTTATAACTCAATCTTTTTTCTTTCTGCCTTCCAAGTTTTAGATTCCAAAATTTGACTGTATAAATAAAAATTTTGTGTAATATTAAAACTTTACTTTAGTTATATTTCATTTACCAAATTAATAATAAACGTAAATATAAGAAAGTATTAAATTTAAAATAAATATCCTTGAACAAATATCCAAAAGTTTAGAAATTCATATCTTACCCTAAAATACTTTGGACCAAATCAGCTAACTCGGAAGTTGTATTAATAGTTTTAAGCATGTAACGTGCATCAAACAGAGCTTGAGCAACTTTTTTTGCATGCTTTTCTTCCCCATATGACTTGAAAATCTTTGCTAAGTTTGGAACATCAAGATGATTCAAAATGTCAGCAGCAGTGGGTTGATCTGGGAATCTGAAATTGAAATATAATCTCCATTTCAAGAACGCTTCGTCAGTGAGCTTTTTATCCTATAAACGGCTTAAAGTACATGTTTAAGAAAATAAACACAGCTCATAACAAGTGTTTGAAAAAATTAACATAGTTGGGAAACGCAAGTTCAAGAAAATTGACACAGCTTAAAATATGTGTTTAAAAAAAATACATGCAGCAAAAAATGCAACATGTTCATCCCTAAATTTAACAACCAAACGAGAAATTTCGTACATACTTTTTTAAGCATTAAACATGATTGATATCAGACAAAGTCCAAGACTTGCCCCACATATTACCTCATTGGAAGTGGCTGTATATAATACAGATATAAGTTTTCAAGCAATTTAGATATTCAGAATACTGAACGAAAAAGTGAATTTTTAAAAATCTAAATTCCTACATTGTAAATTTAATTCTACTATTATAAATTTATAGGATCCGTGAAAACCTCGTAAAAACAATAGTTGACTTTTAAAGTCTTTACACAAAAAATTAATTAATTTAGTCAAATGTAACAAGTTTATTTGAATCCCTTGGTTTCTAGCAATATATAAAAATCTAATGATGGTGTTGTAGTTTTCATTGTCAACACATTTTTATTGCCTGGAAAATCACATGGTAAGATCCAGTTTTCCCACATTAATTTTCATATTAGTTTGATTGTCATCATCATAAAATTGATAAAAGTCATGAAGTTATTGTTTTTCCTATAAATATTTTTGTTTCCCTAATTGAAAGGTTAAAATTACCTGTACTGTTATTATCACGTTTTTGATTTCTAAATAAAGAGTTTAGGACAGTTAAGATAACAGTTTAAGATAAAGTTATTTAAATCTGTGATCTTATTAACCATTTTACAATTATTATTTTTTTGTTGCAAATTACATCAATATACTATAATGAATTACGGTTGAAGAGATTCATTAAATGATTTAGAACTTAACTTTCAGCTTCATGCACAAAGTGATGAATGCAAAAATTGTATTTAAAATATATACATCCGTTTGGTGAGCACAAATATTAAATTACAGTTGTGAATTTGTTATAATAATTTACTTTTAATTTTGCACCAAATTTGTTATAATATAATACTTTTAATTTTCAAAAAATGATTACTCAGTTAAATGATTAATGTTCACTTATTAGTATCATAAAAAAAATATTGGGAAGCGGAAAAGAGGCACAAGTGCTCTTTTTAGTACATATATTTTTAGTTGAATAATGTTAACAGTTTTATGCAAAGAAACAGCAGTTATTGCAAAGCAATCATCGGGGCTGATGAGCGTTAGCGAACAGGGGGCTCAGCTCCCTTGTATTTTATATAAAAAAAAGAATTTTCATAAATAAATTTCCATTTCTGAGTCCATTTTCACACCTTTTGAGCTATGTCTATTTTCTGAAATATGCTATTTTAATTGTGTCCTTAAACACATGCATCTATGAGCTACGTTCATCTTTTTGAGCAAGCTTTTAGAACTAGGCTAAATTTCTACTCTCATTTTGAGCTGCGTCCAGATGAAAAAGTCCACAGACACGATTTATACAAACACTTAAATGAACAACTGTGAAGCCATTTCGATGTATGAATCTGGACATTTAGTTAGAATCCTTTTTTTTTTAAAAAAGAAGAAAAAAAGCATAACATGTATGAATACAGTATTTATGTGTCAAGGCTTGTTTTTTGGTAATAAAACCATAATAAAATGTTCTAAGATATTTTCATAATAGAATTTATAATGTTTGTTTCATAAAAATATTAAAAGTATGTTCTTTGCTTTGATATTAAATATCAAAACAAGAAGTATTACTCCTTTTTTTTTAATTGTAATAATATCTTTTAATATAATTTTTTTAATTACATGCTTAAAACTATTATATATACATTATCATTTAAATTATTTATACATTTGGTCTTATTCATGTTTTTTTATGGTATCAAAGATAAAATGTTTAAGATAAATTAAGATTAAAATAAATTTGAATTTTTTAAAAATTTCAAAGTTAAATGACTTTTTGATTGTTTAAAAATGAGACAGCTTTTAGTCTTACACTGTAAAAGTTTTATAACTACCAACCTACCAAATTTTAAAATTCTAAAAACAATTATTTGACCATTAAACTTGGAACTATTCAGGTCATAATTGCATATGAATATGGTCATAATTGCTTCTTTTTTTACATATGTTTTCGATCAAACTTACTAAAATTTATATTTTCAGAAGAATGTTGATGTAAAATGTGATAAAAGATATTTTTTTATTTATGAAAAAAAAAATGATTTTAACAATGTTGCTGTTTTTAACTGATATAGAAAAATAAAATAAAAAGTTTTGAAACATATTACACATTACCTTTGAAAAACCTTGAAAGAATTTTGAATATTGATAGAAGCATGAAAATGATGCACCCTAAGTTTTTCCTTTTAGGTTGAATCAAAATAAAAAATTTTAGTACACTTAAAAAATGTAAACGTTTATTTTACTATTTTTTTTTATTTCAGCATTGTGTCCTTTAGTTTATTTATATCTGTGGGTAGTTGAAATTTAGATTTGCTATAAATATTTATTAGGAAGGCATTGGCCTACATTAGGCTTTCTGGCCAACTATGATGATGATAAATATTTATTACAATTTAGGTAACAATTAGAATTTGTATTGCCATGGAGCACAGAGTTTCAAAGGAAATTTTAACACTCAAAATAGAAGGAAAGTTTGAATCTAATTTTGATTTATAGTGTAATTTTGATTGATAACAAATCCTATTATGCAATAAAAACTACTGAATAAATTCTGCCTATAGCGGTCAGAAAATAATTGAAACTTATGAAGTCATCCAGCACAGAGATCCAGTTCAGTTTGAAATATTTTAACTAATCAAAAAGTAGTCAAAATTTTGATTGATAATTTTTTGCTGACAATAATATGGTATCAAATTTTGTTGGTAGCAGTCCAAACTTGCATTACCGTCAGGCATGGAGCTCAAGTAACAATTTGCTTGCTTGAGTAAGTTTGAAAGCGGTCAAAATTTTTATTACAAGATTCCAAGCTCACAGACATGAAAAATAATATATTTAAACAATATAGAAAAGCACACCTAATATATAAAATATATATATATATATATTAATATTATATTGAATTTTAATTGAAACTTTATAAGTTCTACCTGTTGCCATCCATTCTCATGTCAAGTGGGCCATTTTTGCTGATAGAAAATCCTCTCTTTGCTTCGTCCATTTGCATCGAAGAACAACCAGCATCGATGAGAATGCCATCTACACTTCCTGGCTGAACACCAGCCTCATTCAAAACAGTTCGAAGTTCACTAAACCTTCCAATCAAAGGAGTAACCTGGCCACTGGGAATAAAAATATCATATAAAACTATTTCTTATTTCTGCTATAATGCATAAAATATATTTCTGGCCCCTGCAGAATAAAATTTTTTTGATTTTGAAAGTATTTCTTGAAATTTATTACAATCATATGACTGAATCAAAGTCAGAACAATTTACTTGAAACAGTGTTTTCGATGGAATGAATGTAGAGTTTTATGGCACAAGAAAAGGTACTACACTAAACGTTAGCAGCATATTGTATTCAAGGTAAAAACAAGATAACTGGAACCATAAACTAGGTTAGAGTCACATGCAAAAAGAAATGGTTAAAAGATCACATGGATATCTCAAGGTTGTGGTAGCTACGTTGACCAGAAAAAATAAAGACCCACTTTTGCAAAAAGAAAAACCATTTTGGAAAATATTTATAAATATTTTCCAAAATGGCTAATAGGAAAATTTGGATACAAAAATTATTCAATTAATAATATAACTACAAACCAAAACTTAGTTCTCTAATAGATCTAAAAAATTATAAATCTATAAGCATAATATCAGACAAAATCATGAAAACCTTAATTTTGTTTTTGTAAGTAAATTATGCTAAACTGTATCAAATTGCTTAGTTCGTGTAAAAATGGCCTAAAATAACCCAATTATGTATGAGACATGCTTCAAGAAGTTTTTAAATCTACTTAATGTTAATTTTTTTTTAAGGAATTAGAACATAATTTACAAAATAACAATATCTAAAAATTCAGTAAACCATACTTTTAATACATTACATAAGTTTAACTAACAATAAAATTTTTTTTAAAGTGAGACTATTTTGATTAAATTTACATAATATTTCATATCACTTTATATTTCTTATAATATAACAAAAACTGAGCAGTAAAAATTAAAATGTTTAGCTTAGTTTTTTTCCCCTTAGCTTTTATTCATATTATTAAAAATATTAATTTATTTGCCAAATTCTAGAACCTTTAAAACCAAATTTTTAAAAATTAAGCCTAATTAAATTGTTTTACAAAGTAGTTATCTTACTTTTACGCCTTTAAATTTGTGTTAAAATATTATACCTTGAAATATAGTTATTAAACCATACCTATTGGTAGCCTGAAAGATATTTTTGGAAAAGCGAACTTTTTTGTTGTCGATTGATTTTTTTTTTTTTTAGAAAATAGTTTAAGTTAAAATAATATATGACACTCAAATTAAATTTGATAATCAAATAAAATAGTTTCCAATACCTTCTATTGAAGCACGTCAAAAATCATACACATTTAAAATTTAATTAAAACTATTCCCATAGGATGTAATTTATTAGTTAATAATAAAAATATTAAACATACAAAGTCCCTCAAATTTTACTTCAAAATGTATGCTTAAAAAACAATCAGAATATAAATTTCAAGTTCAAAACATGAAGTGAGTTGTTTGCAGCTATGAAACAAAAATAAATTAAAACAATACTAAATATTTTTTGACAGTAAAGAAAGGTGTCTTTATAATTTAATTATAATAATAAAAATTTAATCACATAAGTTGTAATCAAAACTTCACATTGTAAATAATATACTATCAGAAATTTTAAAATTTTTACTTTTAAGTAAATAATAGAATTTTGGAGTTTAAAAAAGAAATAATTTTTGAAAAATTATTAAGGGAGGGACACGGCCTCTCGACACTTTGCCTGTTGGTGTGGTAAAATTTCACAAAATAAATCAAATGCATTTTTGATAATAATTTTTAAAATTATCAAATAATCCAATTTTGAGTATAGACATATTACAAATAATTCAATCCAATTTTGAGATAATCAAATGATACATTAGGAAATTTCTTCTATACTAAATAACAAAAAGCTTTTAAATTTAAAACTTAAGCTGTTATCTTTTTTTTTGTTAAGAAAACAAAATATTTCAACATACAAAGTCAGTTTAAAATGAACAGCAACCATAATTGCAGAAACACATTTATAAAAATTACTATGACAGAAGTTTTTCATCATAAACATAGAATTATAAAAAATATTACAATTATAATTAAGTCAAATTATATTGGTAGATATAAAATGGAGTAAAGTAGGTTTGATTTATAAACTTTTGTTTAAAAAGTTAATGAATGAAACCTACTTGAAATCAGTTGCATTTTTACTATGCATTTGGTGAATATTACATTTCACTATAAATATTCAATTATAAAGAATAATTCAGAAGTCAAATTATGTTGGCAGATATAAAATGTAGTAAAGTAGGTTTAATTTATTAAGTTTTGCTTAAAAACTTAATGAATAAAACCTACTATTTTACTATGCATTTGTCCTAAGCAAAAGATGGGAGTATGGATGCGTAACAGCAGTGTTGTTAACATTGCAGAAAAATATGTTTTATTGGCAGATGTTCAGTTTTCATTTAACTGCCCTTATACAGAATAAATATTATTTAATGCAAAAATAAATATTAAAAAAATAAATTTTCTTCAGGAAGCGTAATATTAATTAAAAATATTGAATAAATATAAAATTATTTATGATTAAAACACAAATATAATAAAGTATAATTAAAGCAAATAGTTTTACATAATAGAATAAGCTTTTTAATATACACAAATCAAATAGTATTTTCTAATCAAAATGTACTTTAGTTAGAGAGGAAAAAACATAGAGAAATTCTAAAAATTTTTTGCACACCTGCTCTCTTTTGCAAATGTTTTACACTTTTCAAAAGCAACTGGATCTCTATCTAAGCAATAAAGTTGTATCTTTGCAGCATTTAATAAATGGCGACTATGTCCCCCAGCTCCAAATGTGAAATCAATATAAATCTGTATTAAAAACATATAGTTAAACTAGTGCAAAAATAACAAATTGGGAATAGTACAGTAAAAGAACATTATCAAAAATGTACATAAGCACTCATTACTCATGTTAATATAATTACATATTTCAAATGTTATACATTTTTACCTATACAAATGCTAAATGAGTATAATGTTAAAAAATAAACATGCATAATGTGTAACACATTAATAAAGAAAAATGGATTTCTATGAATTAGCAGATTCCTCTATTATTTGTAGCACCTACTCTTTGTGACCTTATATTAAATATAAATTATCTCATGTCGTCCTTTTATCCAGATTTCAATTTTACACATAGTTTTGAGAAATTCTCGGGAACATTTTATTTAAATTAACCCTTTGCGGTCGTATGTCTACTCTCAGCCATCAAAACTTTTTTACCATTCCAGTCGTATGTCTGCTCTCAGCAACGACAGTAAAGATATTAGCCACAGCTTAATGGTAAACTACATATAATGTGCAGTGTTTTCATCGCAGAAAAAAAATGAGTTCGAACAGAAAAATTAAAGGTGGAATATGCCAAAATATGGACATTTATGCCAAATATTTCTTAAAATAACTGTCCAATAACTTTCAATGTGCTTCCCTTTGAATAGAGAAAATTTTAAGCAACAAATTAAGCTAAATATATTAAATAACATTTATAACTTGATAAAAAAGGATTAGCAAATTCATAAATAAGGACAATATTTATAAATGTGCTAAAAATATTTACTTAGTATAATTAAGAATATATCCGGTATTTTTCTTTATTTTAAATTTGATTTTTATCGACATTTTTAATTCTGCACAACTGACAATTGTTTCAATTTTTATATTATTTTACTAACCTCATTTTTCTTTTGAAAGCTTTTTGATAAAAGAAAAACATTTCATTAGTATTCATTGAAAATTAAAGCAACGTAACTAGCCTGATTGTTAGTTGGTTGAAAAGCACGAATAACTTCTTCCACCATCACAGGAGTATGACTATAATTACATTCTTCATTGCATAGTGATTTTTCTTCTGTAGCAATACTACAGTATGTTTTATTCATATAACTTGGACCTAAATGTTTCAAATGTAAACGGCAAAAACTTAAAAATTTCATTTTAAATACGTATTTAGAGATAACAATTGTCATATTTAATGGAAAAAGATACTTGATTATAAATAAAAAGGCATTATTTCTTTAATTCGCTGAATTTTAGTATTACTTTTCAGTTTTCAGTCAGAAAAACAGTTGCTCGATTATTTACTATTGATATTGTTTCTCATTTGCAAAGTAATAGACGCTCTATAAGTCAGCTTATAGCTTAGAAAGGCGAACGCAAATGAAGTATAGAAGGCGCTGCAGTCTCAGATCAATGGCATCTGAAAACGGACCAGCCACAACTTTTATATTGCTGTTCATTTATGTCGCACTAGAGCTGCGC